GATTTAGCTATTAAATTCAGTTTTTATGGCTCTGGGGCAGATATTTGATGTTTTTAATAGTTTACAACTGAGACGAAAATGAATTGTGCACAATATCAAAAGGCATTTATTTGCTTTAATTGTTATTTTATTCAAAGATAATCTTTTAATCCCCACTTGGTAGATAACAATTGAGTTAGTTATGTTGAAATGGTCTTCATCGATCAAAATCTTTGTTTTGAGCTCTCAGTTTACCTATTAGTCTATGTTCCTACCCTCATCTATGGTCATGAAATCTGGATCAAGAACGAGATGCAAAAAAAAGTCAATTAGCCTCCTCCACAGGGTGGCCAGGTACTTCCTTAGGGCTAGGGTGAGGAGTTTGGTTATCTGGGAGGATGTTGGAGTTTATCTTCTTATCCTGAACATAGTGAGGAGTCAGCTGAGATGGCCTACACCTGTTTCAGAAGTCCCCCAAACCCCAGGGATGTCCCAACTCCTGGCTCAGCTTTATCACAACTTCACTTGTATCAGATTAGCTGAGGCAGGGATTTAAAGAAAATATTAAAATTATAACTTTTAATGAAAGCTTAAAGAGGAATGTTTTTTTTTTACATTGGCCCCTTGATTTTTCGTTATTACATCATGTTCTACTCACCTATATGAGTTTTGTGTCATTTGGATTCATCTGTACATTGAAATGTGTCATCTGAAGATATTCCGTTATATCCAAGTAACGTCTTCCTATGGGCAACGACTTGAAGGCACAAACTAAACTGTTCATAATTTATCATTTATGGTACATACGCCAGCATCCATAACATGTACAGTAGGCGAATCACTGACCCCCAGACATCCGCGGTTATACTTTGTATATTTATATCATTTAAAACAATGCGGCGCGTGTATGACGTCATCTGTGTGCCGGACTGGAGTTGTGACAGGAAGCCCGGGCCACAGGCGGCTACGCTCTACCCCTTTTATTCATTCGGCTAGCTAATCTGAAATGTTCAATTCCATTTCTAGAGCGAGATTATCTGTGGTAGTAGCACTAGACATCTTCCAGGCTTGTGAGTAAAACTAGCAGCAGTTCAGTGGACAGGATGAATGAATGGTAGCCAGCGGCGTGGATGACGTCGTACACACTCCGCTTTGTTTTTAAAGGATATAAATATAAAAAATATAACCGCGGATGTCTGGGGGACAGTGATTCGCCTACATGTTATGAATGCTGGCGTACTATAAAGAATATAGTATGAACAGTTTAGTTTGTGCCTTCAAGTCTTTGCCCATAGGAAGACATTACTTGGATATAACCTAACAGAATATCTTCAGAACGGCTCCAAATGACACAAAACTATAAGGGTGAGTAGAACATGATGTAATAACTGAAAATCAAGGGCCAAATGTAAAAGAAAATGGCGTTCCCCTTTAAAGTCTGCTTAGAAGTAAAACATTTAAAGATTGGATTAAGCTTTTTTTTCATTTATTTCACCAAACAAGTTAAGCTAGATTTGTTTAAAATTGTCGTTTTGAACTGGGCAGTTTTTAAAAAAGACCGGAAATTAAGAGAGGAAGTGTCTCAGTCATGAGACGTAGAAAGAGTTTCTGTTCACCAGTTTAAGTCCAGTTAGTTGATTGCTCTGATGAAGAGGACTGCACTGTTAAGCAATATACAGCTATGTGGAACAGAAAGCAGTGGGACCTTACGCTTTTCACTGGTTTTCTCTGTAAGATCATGTTTTTTGTATTCTCTATATTCTTTTCTTGAATTTCAAATTTATCATATTTTACAAACATTTTGTAAAATATAAAAGTT